TCTGTACTCTGACAGGCTTCAAGATATTTGGATGCAAAAAATTCTGTCTCCTAAACCCTGATTATTTCACCAGGGCCTTAATTCAACTATGAACTCATAGGAATTATTCCTATATTCTAAGGAATCACCCATCAAACCAAAGTCATCATCCAGTAAAACTAAATAAGCTTACCTCCCCAGGCACTGCCTGCTGACGTTGCTGTAGCTGCAGTACCCTGTACAGCTGGAACAAACACAGGCTGAAGATCAAAAAGATCACTAGAAAGGTTGGGCATGCTGAAAAGGAACAAAGAGACACAATATACATTGTTGAGTAACACACAAATTCACACTGTTCTCAGTTGTTTCTTGTTCACCGGGAGCCAGACACAAATAATAGTACAAAACAAAATATTTTCTTAACAAGTGATACCAAAAATCCCATCAACACTCTGAGAAAGTAAGAAGTTATTCCCAAGAACTACTTAGAATTGTGAGCTGCCAGACCAGCCCAGCATTCAGGCTTGCTTCAGAAAACAAAGGCTCTCTCACCTATTTGTTGTGGGTGCCGACACTGCAAAGAGGTCAACAGCTGCAGTGGTATTCACACTTTTTCCTGATAAGGTGCTTGGGGATGCTGATGTGGAAGTAGAATTTGATACTACAGAAATCTCTCTTAATCGCTGCTCCTGAAAGTCCAGATATACAGTTTGGAATTTAGTGTTATTAATTTGTCAGCCCTTTAGACCCTTTCAAAAAGAATAGCTCAACTATGTTCCTTAAATAAAAATAAACACAAAAAAACCCTGATGACTCAACAACAGCTATTTTTCTACAAAGTCAAGGAAACAGAAAGCTTATTTCAGGTTTGTTTCAATGTAGCCACAAAAGGCTTCACAAAAACCATCTTGAAAGCCTTGAGTCTCACCTTGGCATCTAGAGCTGTCTAGAAATAAAACATACTCAAAGTGATGTATATAAGGCCAGGCTGATGGCCCCCTGTTCCAAAAGATGCATTTCTCTGCTGTCAGGATCCCTTATAGCCCAAACCAAATTGCCAGAAACTTAAACAGACATGTGTCTGAACAGCATCTATGAGGTGTTACTCATCAGCAAAAGATAAATTTAGCTTGTTCGTACAATTAGTTTTAGGTCACATCCTTTGGTTACAGCTCACTGCATTTACACACAATGTGTCAAATCACAGTTTCCTAGCATATACCTCAAGTAAAAGAAATTCAGGAGGTTAAGTTTCTCACCCAACTCAAATGCATTTCCTATTAATCCATTTAACTTGTCAGTGACAGCAACTACAACTTCTGTTACAACAGTAACAGTGAAGGGGAGATATCTGAAAGGACTCCCAAGGGAAAAGAAAAAAAAAATATCATAAAATAACCAACCAGAACAGCTGCATCACAGTACTAGCCAAGATTTTCTAGTGAAGCAGCTCAACAGTGAGTAGCAAGGGATGCTAAGAATACCACGTATATACACACACACACACAGACATGTGTATATATGGAATACCTTAAGTGCTTGCAGTCTAGCTTGTTCCTCCTCCAATGCCTGCTGTTTCTCTTTCTCATCCATCCTGCTCAATGACATCCCAGTGTTGGCAAGCGTGGAAACAGCACAGGACAGAGCACTAGCCCTAAAAAACAGCAGGAAGTTTGTTATTAACTAAATCAGCCAGGTACAGATCTCAGTTTAAGCATTAAGTGGTTCAGTTAGTTGTGCTACTCCCCTACCACCGCAGTCTTCTCTTACCTTGCTCTTTGGTGCAGACTAATAGAATTACTGAAGATGGAGAAGACCTTCAACACCATCAAGTCCAATCGCAACCCTGACCTACCCAGCCCCATCATGTGCCACACATGACAGGAGTACACAGGATTACTCCCCCAGGTTTCTGTGGTGGGAATTGTCAAGTAGCAAACACACCAGTCTTCTATTCATATTAGCATATTGATTAGAGTCCAGTTCTGCTCCATTCAAGTGGCAGAGGCACAGAAAGCTTGCATGGGGGGGCCACGGTAGGACAGAGCAAGAAGCAACACAGGGAAGTTATTCCCTGCACTGCACACTTAAGTGGAATATTGCCATAGAAAAGCCTCAGATACTTGCAAAAAAGAAATCTGAGGCACAAGACAGCTACTCAGGAATGATACTTTCCTTTATCAGTCTGCCCACAAATCTAAGGGGGTTCCCCCTTAGATGTACGTATATATCGGTGTATGCTGAAACCAAATCTTTTGCCCTTCAGTCAAAACACATTCATACATTGCAATACTCTTCCTGACAGAAATAATTCTTGTCAGCACAAAGTATCAAAGCTCATTTGGCAGTTCTGAGACTGAAGAACTTTCATAGGTAGTTTAAGGCATTCACAACTGAAGAAGTGAATAACTGGCAACAAAGACAAACACCAGCCCATCAGTAAAAAGCTTTGAACTCCCAATACCATACAAGTCTTACGAGCCAAAATGCAAGGAATAATACACAAAGTCTCAGCTTAGTGGTTTATTACAATACAGCAAGATATTTGTCAGACACAAGCACACATCTAAGGAGCAAGTGCAATGGAGCTCTCAGACTATCACTCACCAGATACAACATTTATACCATCTAGGAAGATAGAGTTGGAAGTGAATAAAATTCAAGAGGAGAACCTCAATGACTGAATCCCAAAACTTCTTAGGACAATGACAACAAATCTTAAGTAGAGGCACAGGTGCCATTCATTTGGTGCTCACCTGCTGGCAGCAGAAACTTCCTTTGTTTTCTTTCCCTCCAGAGAAGCCAAATGCTGCTCCAGTGCTTCAAGCAAGCTGCTGGGTGCCTAAAATTAGAGTATTCATGAAGCTCTGCTTCTAGACAAGGCCTTCTTGTTTAGTACACAGATGAGTTTTCCCATCAACTAAGAACCAATACGACCACTTCAGTGATAGCACCTTGATGTCATTCATTCTGCACAACTGTGTTCTACCTACCCAGCTGTGGTTCTTGGCTTCCATCAGGAACACTTAACAACAGGACGTGATGTTCAATTACAAAAAAAGCAATCAAATACAGCCTTATCCCAACAATACAGTCTGAGACAGGAGCACAAGATGATACAATAACCCAAACCAATTTCATTCAAGTCTTTCGCATACCAAAGCATAAAAAACTAGAAATGAAAGATCACTTCAAATTGAGCGGCAGAAACTCTCCCCTCCGTTCCACCCCAGAACAGTGTCACCTAGGAGAAGATTTCAAACATTCAATGTTCTTCCTCGATTTAAAAAATTCTAAAAATAAACTTAACTCCATTTAAATCCAGCAGAAAGTCAGGCATTAGAACGTCACACTAAACAAGGTGAAAACTTAGGAAATGCAAACAAAATTTAAGGGAACGATGCCTATGAGTTTACAAAGATGACTGAGAACACAGCAACAACATCTTTCAGTACTCAAAGATTTATTCAATAGATAACAAAAGAACAAGCTGAAAGAATAAATACTAAGCCACAGCTGAGCTGCTTTTATTCCTGAAGAGAAACAGAAATGCTGATCGCAACTTGCCTCTTTTCCACCATATACCTGAATCTGCTACAGAAAAACTGCTTTCATAACAAAGGAAGCCACAAGCTCAAAACAATTGAACTGCCAGCTTAATTAGCCTTAGTAGGAAGCAAACCTTCTCAACAACAACAAAAAATATCACCTTATAAAAAAAAAGAGCAAGTGCAATGACTCTTCCTGCACACTCAGATGAAGAGGGAGCTCCATAGTTCCAATCTACCTGCCCACTCTAGTTGCATGCTTTTTATAGGCTTTAAGCTTCTCTTACCATTTGCCAACTTCTAGTGGGCAGAATTAATACCATGGCCATTGTTAGGAAGAAAAAAAAAACAAAACCAAAAACCAACTAACACCGAATAAGCTTGCTTTAACTAGGCCTTCCATACTTTGGTTCAGCTTTTGGTCATCCTGGAGGGCAGAAGACAGTCAAAGTCTTTAGCCAGTTCTTCTCTGGGACAATGAATGTGGGAGGTCAGAATTGCATTCAATAACGACTGATTCAAATTCCAAGAGATGCAAAGAAGAGCATTTGGAATAATCCTATTTAAGTGCCCGGCTTACAGTTAAGACCTGTGTTCATATGTACCTCTACTTCTAGAAAGAAGTTAAGATGGTGTAGTTATCTCAGCAGCTGGTCATGAGTAAATTCAGTGTCCAAACTACATGACTAACCCCCAGGGGTAAGCGTTTCGAAATACCTTTCCAGGAAGGCATGAGGAACAAACAAAAACACCCCAACAAAACAAGCAAGCAAGAAAAAATAAATAAAAAAAAATAAAAAGGTCAACCAACCCTTCTCCTTTTGAGAATATCAGTTTGCAGAAACAATTACATAACACAGCTAAATAATACAGAGTACAGTCTTCTGCTACTAAGATTAGCTTCAAGAAGTTCTCCTACTCTGCTTTTGGTCTTCCAGATAACGCTAAAACCTACCTGTATGGAAAAATGCATTCTACGCCTTTTTTGCTTTGTTTTGTTTTTCCAACTCTCTAATTCATTCCTCTCCTCAACCATAAAATCCCCACAACAACAAAACAGTACCTTTCTACACACTTGCTCATTGTTGCAGATATTCAATACAGGTGTTTTCTTAATTTATTTGAGCAAACAGAACTTTTATGGCAGAAAAGATGCTGGAGCTAAAACAGGGATTATGACCTGAATAAGTCTGCTTTTTCTGACTCAGACTCGCTTCTCCTAACCAAAGACATGTCAGACTGACATCCACACAGAGAAGTGACTGAGTTGCATTTATAAAAAATACAGTCCCAACTACAAACAGAAAGGAAGCAGCAACATAATGAAACAGGACATACACTAAGGACAGTGACATTATCTTTACACAAATTGGCAGAAATGGAGAAAGTGTGAACATCACTCAGAATCAAGGAAGGAAGCAAAAAATTACACAGCAGCAGTAGTAAAAATTTCTAAAGAGAAATTATTGCTCTCAGGAACAGCTTAGACACCAAAATATGGACATCCACACAAGAAATCTAAGTATTTTGAACAAACAGACAGGTAAATATGAGTGACCAGACTATGAACAAAAGCCTATCGTTTGTCATCAGTTGTCATCCATCATCGTCTGAACTCACTGGTGCTGCAAGTACAGCAAAAACTGACATTTTTCTCGAAGTCCAAAACTAAGAAATGTCAGGGAATTGTTTTGAATTGGCACAAGACTGATGTAGAATTACTCAACCTAATTAAATGTCATAAAATTTAGTACAGAGAGGAATTGGACTGATTCACTGACGATGGCACTGAAATTGCCAAAATACACAAGATGCTGATACCCACCACCACATTTCAGAGAACTGCCCAAGTACGCTTGCAATAAAATAACTGAGCTATTAAGAAAAAAAAGTGTTCCAGCTGTAACTGAAAAGTTTTGCTCATAAAAATTTTAGAAATAAAGCAGCAAAATTAAATTTCCTGTTCTCAGTAAATCAGAAGAAGCCCCATGATTTGAAGACTTCTATAATTCCTTGGTTAACTGTGCAAGTGAGCGCACGCAAACCCAGCATGCAAGCCCTTGTCATCTCTGAAGTATCACCTCACACTTCAGTGTGTTGTCATTAGGGAACACAGGCCTGCTGAACATACTGTACTAGTCAGAAGTAAAATGCTAAGATCAAACATCACAAAACATCACACTGCTGCGTTCATTCATTTCTTGCCCTGACTCTGCTGGCTACAGTCACATTCTTTTTTTTTTTTTTTTTTCCTACAGCAAATGCTTACAAGTCCTTTGCAAGGGAAACACAAGTTGCTAGGAGCAAGTATGAGAGATGTGTACATGTGGCAAGATGCCTGTGCCTTATAAGCCAATTAATCCTTTGTCGTAAGACAAGAAGCAGAACTTCCAAAAAAAACCGTTATCACTTTAAACAATCCAAAAATAACACCTGCAAAGTTAAGCACCAAGTACACCTGATCCAAGGGAAAAACACACATCTGCATTTCTTATATATAGGTCTATGAAATAGAATACATTCAAGATGACTGTTATAGTACATACCAGTCATAAAAAAATGTAAAGGAGAAAATAATTGAATGGTATCAGCATGATACGTACACTGACCTGAGTAAGATCTGGAATGTCCCCCTGATCGATTCCAACTTGCTGGGTTTACAAAAGAGGAAAAGAAAAAGTACATTATACTTCATGCCGTGGCAATGGAAATAAAAACAGAGGTCTGAATGTTTTATAGAAGCTAAGAGACTAAAATGGGTATTAATCACTTCCTGAATTGGTAGGAGTTTAGTGAAGAACATGTCTTAGAAATCTCAAGTATGTTCCTTTGCATCTAAAAGCAAAGCTAAGCCTTTATCCAGCCTTTTTTTCCCCACACAGAAAATCTAATTGGGAGTGTTAGAAATATCTGCATTGCTTACTGGAACTACTTCTCCATTTTGAACAGTTACAGTAAAGAACAGCACTGTAAATACACTAACAGTTCATTCTGGACCATTCATCAAGTTTATAACAGCACTTCAGAAAGCTGTTATTACATTGTTTGGCTAATGAAGAAGATGCCTGAGAATCTCACTTCACATTACTCAGAATAATTGGAGTTTAAAATGCATTATCTGGGGAATTACTCTCTGTATAGTGAAGGTGATGTCACATAATTATGAATATAGACTGCTGTTGTATTACAGTAGCTTGGAATTTATCTTTTCATAGACATTGAATTATTTACCTCTGCTACTTTGAGGAATTCTGACAATTTAGTCATTCTGGATAGGAATTTCTTGTACATATCCAAGCCTTCTTTACACTGATTCTTCTTCATATCAAAATATTTTTCTGAGGATGCAAATAAAAACATTTTTGTAAGCCAACACCAGCAAAAACTGGTGCCATTATATATTATTATACATGTACATTTGATACAAGCTTCAGGGATAGAGTAGACAGTGATAACTCAAAGCTACTCAAGTTTTCAAGCTGACATGAATACCTGTCACTGTTATAATAAAGCACACAGCAGAGAGGAACCACTTCCGAGATTCAGTGCCTTGGAATATAACACAAAGCTTGACAAACACGGATGCAAACATATGCAATTATTAAATTAGACAGTTCAGGTAACATTCTAAGGAAGTCACCTTACTAGCTGAAAATGATGCAGACGTCATATTCTTGTCTACACATTCTTCTACATATTTAGACCCTATATTAATGTGTTTTGTTGTTTTTAAGTCAGCCTAATATCAAAAGACATCAAAATGACCACTAAAGCGATTCTTTTATTTTGGCACATCAGTTCAGTGCATGAAAGACCCAGCAACCACAGCCTTCACTTTTTCTTGTTTTGCTCCAAATATCTGCAGATATCTCAATGAGAAAAAAAATATTGGACTAACAAAACAAACTAATCAGGTGATGTTTCATTCAGAAATCTGTTTGAATTGTCATTATTAGGCTTTCCCAACAGCTTGTCATTCTTGAGCAAAAAAAAAAAACACATAAGAAGCTTGTGTAGACTCAAATACCAGCTAGAAGCAAACAGGCAAACTATAAAGAAAGTATGGGAAATCGTAACTCAGTTGTGCTGAGCGTGCACATTCAAGAATGTTCAATACTCAAGGCCTGCTAACTGTAACAGGCCAACAGTGCCTTTGTTTTTTTCCTCACAGTCAGCCTCTGACTTCAATCTATGTTTCTAGTCATAATCTTCAGGTAAAAGCACATATTTAAGCATGTGCCAGTTGCGGTTAAGATGTGTTTTGCTGTTAACAATTACATTAAACAACTTACTAGTCAGAAGTTGTCTGTTCTTTATTTTGCTCAACAACTTGCATGAAAGTACGAATGCTAAAAAAAAAAAAAAATTGTCACCTACCTAAAAGATTAATAATCCCCTCATTGTATGCTGCAAAAAGTCTAATGGAATCTTTGAAGAGGAGCATAAAGGCAGCATTTATAACACCATTTGTTAGTTCATTTGGATTTGCCTGTGTAGAAAGCAACAAGAAAATAAATGAGTACTTAATAAAATAGTACAACTTACTTCAAAATGAGAGACTGTTACTTAAAACTGAGCCTCAAGTACTTACATCAAAATCAAGGAGTGCATCATGCTGGTTCTGTATGATTGGAAGGGTTTTCAGGAGCTTTTCAGCATTCATGGTTCTCATTACTCCATCTATCCTACAGGTTAAAAGACATGTTTACAGGTCACCAAGAAACCTCAGCGACATATGCTGTTTCCACACTATTAGATTACTTTAAAGGGTCATACCATGTATGATAAGCTCAAGAATAACCAGTATTTCCCCAACCCCCACACACAAACAAGAGGCTAAATAAGCAGTAAAATCTCTTACCCTCTTTTCATTTTGGTGAAGTCAACTGCTACAAGTCTGTATGAAAGTGCTTTTTCATTCAAGTATCTGCTATACCGCCTAATGAAGGTAGACATATCATAGCCTGAAAGTTAAGCGTTTGTAGGTTAGATATTTTGAAGTGATGCAGTTTCCTCCAAGTTCTTTTCAAGAACTATTCTCCTACTAGACCACTTTACACCAACTTGCTGAAGAGCAGCACTTCACAGACTTATTCCAGTGTCTTGAGATAAACTATTTTTCCTCTTTGACATGCAGAATTACAGCTTCTTCCCAGCCGGCTAAGATTAGCAATGCATTCCTTGCAATTATGACAATAAATGCCTACAACACAAAGAAGTAGGCAAAAACCAAGCTGCTCTCATTACAACGTTCTAATCTGAAATCAAACTGAAAACATACTACTGGTGGAACACTGAGGCCTCTGGTAATTTATCTCACTATCCATGCAGTACATTCCATGCACCTTAACAGTTCACATTTACTTCTGAGATACTAAAGTGCAATCAAAGTTCAATCGAAATAGATCAGTGTGCTGATATTCATCAGGTCTACTCTACGTAGTACACATTTACTATTTCAAACTTACAGCTCTGTAAGGATGATACACACAGTACAGGCTAATTTTTAGTACTCATTTAGTTAACCCAATTTCACCTTCTTGGGATACATGCTTGGTCAGATATTCTTTGGTGCTTCACACAATACAAATCGTAATACTCTCACCTAAATGTCACTTGTCTCCCAGAATACACAACACAGGTACCAACCACAGAGCAAAAAAGCAATTAAAGATTCTTACCCTGCATGGCACTTTTGTCCAGGTAGTTATTTAAATTGAACAACGTGTTTCGAGATGCAAGATACTGGATAAAGCGCTGTTGGTGGAAAAAATAAAAAGTGGAGTCAAGTTTTTGTTGCAATAGTCAAAACATTCAGGCATACTGCAAGAAAACTACACTTAAATTCATAATTGATTCTAGAAACCTCCAATAACAGATACTAGTTCAAGAATCAGAAAACCTTGAAACCACTGATCAGCAAAATTTCTAACATACAAAATAGCATATTTGGTAAAAGCATGACTTAAAAGAAAAAGACATGGCTGCCCGGGCAGAAGGGGAGCGGGCTGGGTTAACTTTGTAGGTTTAGAACAGCCAAGCTAGAAAATGCAAAGTGAGAGCTCCACCTAAGTTATGAGTTCCCACGCTTCTACTCCAGCTGCTCAAGTCAGAGACAGGTTTCTTTCCTTAAGTAACAACATAATTTACAATAATGCTACTAGAACTGTGGTAAAGAGCAGCGCTCGAGTTGGTATAACTCAGATTTACAACATACTGATGGGACTAAAGAACATTTAAGTTCTGAAAAATAATAGCTAGCTCAGCAAATAATAGAAGAGTAAGAAACAAAACATTTAGACAGCAAGGTGTTTTAAATGTTTTTCTTTCAAGTTTCCCATATGTAACTCCAACAATTGCAGCTTCTATGCTTTTCAGCTTCCTGACCTACGTTTGAGTCCATAAACCATTACAATCAGTAGGACTTATGGGGCTAGTTACACCTCTGATCTCAATTCCCAGACACATCTATTCAAAGGTAAGGAACAGTTTCAGTACAGACATAAAAGTACAGCTCTCCTCTGCTGTAAAATGTTACATGAAAAAAAAATAATAGATACCAATTGCTAACCCAGGACTCTAAGCTTCAATTTTTCTTATAGTTCAGATTGGATTTTTTTTTTCCCCTTCACATTTCAGCATGCAGGTATCAACTGTATTAGAAGAAGAGGGCAAAATACATGCAGTGATTTACAGCATTCAGTTTTGCTTTGTAGTTGCAATAAGTAGTGCCTCCCAAGCAGTGAATTTCACTTCAGATTATCCCCTAATTTCAACCTACTACCTGTTGAAATATAAAAACCACCATTAAAGAGGCCTTTACAAAGCTAATTACATCTTACCTCATTTCCATACATCATGAGGTGGTGTGTTGTAATTAGAGCTTTGAACACTACAACCCAGCTACTGTTTGCAGTTCTCTCAAAGAGCGTGTCTGCCAGCTGTGGAATATTCACATTCATTTCATTTGTGCACTGTATTAGATCTACATTTAAGAAGGAAATAAAACACAACACAGCATTACAATGAGTTACACACTCCAAGAAGATTACCATGTTTTGTAGTTTTACATAGAGAATTCATACTGTAAATTTTAACTTCAGTTCTTCATTTAAGAAATAATTGAACTATTTTTCATCTCCAGCTCAAACTCGCTGTCTTTTGGCAAGTGTGAATTTAAAAGCATTTCAACCATTTTAAGGAGTCCCAATATCTCAAAAGAAAACCCTGCTCCAGCAGATACTCTGTGTCCAAATTACTGTTCAAAAGCCAATGCAGACACAGAAGTCATTCCATCCAAACAAAACCGAAAAGTTGAGAAGAGTGGGAAAGCAGAGGCACCTCCTGAGATCAAGAAGTAGCAAGCATTCAAGAACTTTGATCTTAGCCTGAGAACTGACTCACCCAGTAGCCAGATGCCGCAAACCTGAACTAAGCCCTCTTTTCTGTGATATTTCAGAGGAAGAATCAGCCCATACCCATCTTTCCATACAGGCAAAGTGGCCCAATCACCAACCTGCTGAGCATATTGTGGGGGATCACAGCAGGTCTCAAGCTCTTTGTGTCAAAGACTGATCATAAACTCAACAGTTAAACATTTACTAGGAAGAACAGAGAGCTTCAGATCTCTGCCTGAGTACTGGAACAAAACCAGAGCACGTTCCAGCAGAGACCTGGGGAAAAAGGTACTGCTGAGAAGGAAGCAAGACTGTTCTAACCCCCCTCAAGACATACACATTTCATTTAATTCCCTGTGAGCTGTTTCAGGTGTGATCAAAGCACAGCTCAAGGACGGGGCAAGGCCCAGTACTACAAACACCTCATTTGAAAACCTTCCTCTGTTATTGAAGGCAAGTCCCTGAGCAGGCTGCTGGCTGTGGATCAGCATTACTGCTCATGTGGTTCTTCTGTGTAAGTACTTGAAGGCCAGCTCACAGGCACTAACAGTGAGGTGGCAACACAGCCAGCTTCTGATGTTTATCTTAAGCTATTTAAACCTTTTTACCTGTTCTTGTGCACAGAATATATTACAGATGTACCTTGACTACAAATCTGTTTAAGGATCACTAACGTTTACTCTGAGTCATTTGATAACAAGAGTAACTTGGAAAGTGAAGAATTTTAGAGGGCTTTCTGTTTCAGTAAGATGCAGAAAACACTAATTGCTTACTGGTTCCACTTTGATGCCAAAAGTTTCAAAATAGGTAGAAAACATTCAAGTTGGGGTGAAAGTTTTCATCCCAACTATAAGTAACACACAAACACTGAAATAACTGTACAAAAAGAAGAGCTCTAAAAAGAAGTGTGAAACAAGCTCCACATCAAAACCTTGTTGTTTAGTATCAAAATACACCTCTGTCCAAATTCTCAAAAAGCAAGTCATTTGGTAGACACCTCTCCAACTTCTGGCTGTGTCATCCTCAGACACTGCGTCAAATTTAGAAATATTTTTAGGATTTTGGTAAGCCCAAACAATCCACAGACAGTTACTGCTCCACGTAACAAAACAAGTTTCCATTCCAAGATCTATACATAGGAAGAAAGTCAGTTTTAATTCAAAAGCCTCATCTCTTGAACAACTTTGTTATAACATTTCTAAGTAATTATCTCAAAGCATATTAAGGTAAATAAGTCTTCCCGAATCCATTCTGTTTATAAGCAAGTATTATTAAGATCGCTGCTTGCTTTATCACAGCATTTTTTATATAACTGAAGGTCTATAACCTGCAGAGAAATGCTGCAGAAGTGTTACAAGTTGTAAGCTGAGAATAGGAATTACAAAAAAAAAAAAACAACAACAACAAAGAAACCCACAAACTATACTGAGCAATATCTGTAACATTACTAACAGGCAACAATTAAGGAAATTCCATTAAACTTTTGAGGTCCATGATTACATAGAGAGCCTAATGAAAACAGTATTCCTGCGCAAAGCTCTCCTCCTCCACAAAACAAGTCAGTTTTACTATTCAGTATCTCCACTGAAGAGACTGCTTACCAAATAGCAAGTGGGACTTGAAGGAAAGATGTAGGTTAAAGAACAGTTTTTGCTCTCCAAGACAGGAACAGCAGACAGACAGATTATATCATCCATATTTTACTGGATTTTTGTTTCACACAGATTTCAGCCCCATCTGCAAATCTTGTCTTCCTTCAGACAAGGTCTACCAGCAGATGTTCCAGTAAAGCCTTCAATGATGAACACCAGGGAGATTTCTTGCATACTTAAGATCGACAGCAAACACATGCTTAGAAGTGTTACTCTATCAAGATGCGAAAGAATTTTATTGTTAGCAACTATACCAAAAGCTCTAAGTGATCAACTCTTCTTAAACTGTTCATTCATTTAAAAAAAGAAAAAAGCAAAAAAAAAAAACAAGGCTTATTCCATCGTAATGGTTTATGGTGATAAAAAGACAGCCTGGTGTCAACCTTCAGAAGGGAGCCAATGCCTTCTGCTTTCTAAGAAGGCTAGAAGTAGCTTTCTGTCAAGTGACAACAGAGCAGAAGTTGAAAAAGCCCATGTGTATTTGGGATCCACAGGATTCCACGTGATTGAGAAATACAGGTCCAGTATTCTGTGCAAGAGCTAGTGAGGTTTTCCAGGATGACCAACTTGCTTCTGGAAGATGTGAGCCCAACCACTTTAGCAGTTCTGCACATGAAATGCTACTCATAGCCTGATCCAAGCTGTGCTTGAGGTTATGGGACCTGAGCAAGAATAGAACAGAGTTCAGAAGTACGTTAAATTTTTTTTCTGTGTGAAGTTAAAGTCACCTGGCTTTAAAGCAAAAGAGGATTTCTGTACAGGATTTCAAGCAGCCTGAAAGAGCTGTGGAAATCTTAGTGCCTAGAAGAGTACAAAGGCTATCTCCAAAGCCACACAGGTCTTCTGAGATCAGCATGCACGGATATGCCATCAGCCCTTCAGAAACTCCTCAGTCCAGCACTGACAAAAACCTGACATTTTTCAACTTTCAAGTAAGGAAGCGATCATGTCCTTAGTTCAGGAATACTCCTTTCAAGACAACTGTCAATACAGAAGTTAAGGCAACTGCAACTGTTCAGTATCCCCCTAGTTTTTTCCTTCTGTCACAGGACAGAAGCCGCTCTATGAATGGCAGATAGAAGATTAGAGACCAACTTTCTTAACCCTGGAGCCTTAATAAATAAATAAATAAAATGCATTTATTTTTTGGAAGTTGCTTGTAAAACAAAACAAAACAAACCCTTAGGCAGACTTTCTCAATGCGGCCCATAAGGTTTTGTTTTATAAAGCCTTAAGCAATTACTACATTAAATGTGCATAGAGAGAAAGATTCCAACATCAGCTGTGTTCTGGGCTTTTTTTCTTCAGGTCAAATTGAAATTCAGGGACTAGATGACCCTTAAAGGTCCTTTCTAACTCAAGTGATTCTATGATTAAAGACAGACACCCTCTTGCCCGGGGGAGCATTTGAGAACATTTCTTCATGTTCTATCACAACATACATATCTCTAACCAGCAGCTGCCAGCAGTTCTAAGCTCTAACTGCCAGAAGTAAGATTGGCAGACAGAAAACACCCCAGAACTGTGACAGTCAGAACATGACATGATGGGCAAAACATCATCATGGGCAACGGCTCAGAAGAGACCTGAACTTTCACCTGGAGTGAAAGGCTTAACAGCCTAGTTTTGTTACATAACACAGTTTTGAAGTAACTGAATTATCACTTCTAAGAATATTTCTAAGCCTGCACGCATATAGCAGTTATAAGTTTATATGAACATAAACTGCTTTCCCTCCATGTTTCATAAGTGGACTCTATACAAGTTTTAAAGAGAGAAATAACTCCACTTTTATTGTGCTCAGTTGGACGTTTAACACAGCATTTGTTTGGAGGTTTGTTTTCTAAACTTTGGTCTACACCCAAGTCCACTGCAGCTAACAGCTCAGCTACAACTTTTTCTTTTTTTAAATAGCTTTCCCATAGTTACCCAGGAAGAGATGTCACCAAAGAAGCAGCTCCCCCCACTCCACTGCAACACTAACCTTAGAAGACTGTGTGGCACAGCAAGAGAACCAAAGTACCAGGGAAGGGGAGACAAGACTCTCAATCACTCCACTGAGGAAAATGAAGAAACATCGCAAAATGTTTTATTTTATCCTGAAATATCACAAAATACTACAGAAATAGATCTGCTGACTTATTTAGGACACTGTGACCTACTTTAAGAGAAAAAAAAACCAACAAAACAACACACATGAAATATTTCCATTGACACTGCTTAGGTGTCCTTCTTTAAGAAGAATGCAGCTTTACTACCTGGCAACAAGCAGTCAGATAGAACTCAAGCCTCCAAATAATCCCAGTCCACACACTGTGTGCAGAACCCCTTCCCACTTATACCCATACTGTAATGTTCAAGCTTTCTTTGCCAAGGAAGTTGGGCAATAAGGGGATTTTTAAGAATTAATCTGAATGGAGTCTGGAGACGAGTACTACGCCACGATCCTCGACACAACTGTCAACTCTCAAAACATGTTTTTTAAGCAGCAAGTACAAGTAATACCAGATGGAGCAGCATTTTTAATGACACACACATGTAGGGACACTAAGGTACAACTAGCAGTGCTTTGCATTAAATCCAGGCTATGCTTTATTTCATGTTTTACTTAACTTGGAAAGTATTCGCATTGTGGCTTTGAAACTATACTGTGTGACAGATTACAGTATTAGAACTTGTATTAAAGGCAGACAGATGAGATACGACCAAGTTTTGCTCACAGATTGACAAGAAAAATTATCAGGAAGTGCCATGCAAAGTCTGGCAGATGTTAGAAATGAACAACCCAGTGTGCTCAGTGAAGATGGGAGCATGGCATTTATTTTTTAACTCCTTTTCCAAAGGTACTTCTGGTACCACATTTCCCATCTTTTTTGTTCACCTCACAGAGCCCCTCCATTTCAAGATACATTGGTAGCACAACAAACTTCTTCTTAATTTCAGACAAAAACGATAGAAAATAAGTTACATCAAAACACAGAACAGGAGGACCTTCTGCGGACTGACAGCTCTGAACAGACTTGTATCAAGAGGCGTTCAGAAGAATGTCACAGCACAAGTTTGCGCCGTTCTCACGTTACACAGTTCTTCCACCTGTCCATTTTCTTATTCTGTGAGGGTAACGTCTAGTGAATGACATGATTTTCAACCAATGACTTACATCTTTTAAGCCTCAGAAACTTTTAAGCTATTGAGCAACCACTTCCTGGCTTCCTGCTACGATGCCTTTTCTGACCTTAAGGGTTACCTTGCAAAACTGTTCTACCTCAGGCAGAAAACAAGATAAAGTGATGCTCCTTTTCATTATACCGCTCATTACTCAGCTCTGAGGCTTTCAATTTGAGCCTGGTAGCTACAATATTTACCTCCACAGCCGGCTTCCACGCATCCAGATCAATAAGAAATACATTTGCACTGGTTGTAACTATGTGACCCACATCCAGAGCTCTTAAACAAGAAATCCGCTTCAACAGACGCGGGCCACCACAGAGTCAAATTGCCCCCAGCACAACGTGCTTGTTCCAACAGCCTGAACAGCACCCTCCTTGGCACCATCACCCCAACATCCCACGTGCACCCGTGCCCCGGAGGAGCCCCGTGCCCAGCTCCACGTCCCCTCCCTGGTGCGCACACAGCGCGCACAGCTCACCGCGCTTCACGCAGCCGCTGGGCGCTACGAAGTCGGAAGCGTTCAGCGCAGGTCTGAGCAGTCAAAGACTAACTAAAATCGAAACAAAGCAACAACCCCGATGATTCTGTAGATATCGGAGGCAGCTTCCTGCACTTCGTGGCACACGAGTTGTTTCGGCATTCAATTTACGCGTAGCAGCAGCAGCGGAGCAGTCTCGTTTTGGAGACGCGTCGGATCCACCTTCTCCCAACCCCTCAGCTCACTCCGAGCCTTTCAGCAAAGCCCTAAGAACACCGCGCCACGACGAACGGCTGCATCCCACCACAGGCGTGGAGAAAGCCAAGAGGCGAAGCTCCCGGCAGCGATGCCGCAGCACCGGCCCCCCGCTCCCCACGGCGGCACCTCCAGGCGCCGCTCCAGCGGGCGCAGCGCTCCCGGTTCGCCAATTTCGGCGGGCGGCACAAAGCTCGCCCGTTCCACGTGGAAGCCGCTCCGGCAGCGCAGCCCGGCAGCCCGCCCGGCGCCCCTCGGAGCCCCGCCCGCCCCAGGCCTCGGGAGGGCCGTACTCACAGTCCAGGTGCTTCTTCTTGGGGCCCATCACCTCGTGGGTCGTGGCCTTGCACACGGCTTTGGCCACGGCCGAGCCGGTGACGCTGTGCTGCGCCGCCGTGATGCGGTCGGTGATCGACTGCCCCGACATCGCGGCGAGGCCGGGCGGCGGGAGCGGCTCCCCGGGGAAGGGCGGCGGGGAGGAGTCCTCGGCGGCCCCCAGCCGCGGCCGGGGGCAGGGCCAGGAGCGGGGGCGGTCCGCGGCGAGGCCGGCCGTCCGTCTCTGCGGACCGCGTCCCGGAGGAAAGCGGCCGGCTCCGCCGTGCCTCTCGCCGCGGGCTGCGCTCAGGCTTTCCCTTTCACATTTCCACTCCCAGACAAAATGGCGGCGGCGGCGGCGTCAGGTGACCGCGCGCCCGCCCCGCTCCGCCCCGCCCCGCTCCGGCGGGCTCCGTGCCGTGCCGTGCCGTGCTCCGCTGCGCCCGCGGGGCGTGAGGTGAGCCGGGCCGACCCCGCGGGAAGCGGCTGCGGACACGGTCCCGGCGGAGACGTGCCGCCCGGGGACAGCCCCGCGCTGTCACAGCGCTTTTTTCCACGGCTTCTTGCGGGGCGGGTTCTCCCCGCGGGCTGAGGAGCACCAGTTCGCTGTGCTGTGCTCCGTCGGTCGTTTTGCTGGGAGCAAACAGGCGCTCCGCAGCCCGTGCCACGTACGGCAGTGGTTTCCGCCGCAGGGCCGCCGTGTCAGCCGGACCGGGACTCCGTCCCGCTGCTGGGATGGGGTTCGCTCACACGAGGCATCTCAGCTTCATTTTCAAAGCATTCCTCAAGAAGCTGCCTTGTGTCCTTGCCCTCAGAAATGACGGCAGTCCTGAAGTGAGAGGAGTGAGAGAAAAGAGCTCTGCAGTAACTCTGTGGCAGGACTTGCTCCCTGGCCTGTGCACATGCACTGTGTGGGATTCCTGACCAAAATGAGGAATTTATCTTTCACAACAGAGCCCAACTGTATCAATAACACGAGGGCACGTTACTCCAAACTGAACATCACTGAGGTACTGCATGAGGAAAAAAGAAAAAGTCAGTTTATGATGAAAAAAGACACCCATCTCCAGCACAGAAAGCAAATGCTCATTTCCAGTATTCTGAGCTGCTCCTCGTGTCCCTCTACATTGCTGTTGTGATATTATCATTGCTCTCCTAGCATTACGGTTTCCAAAGACAGTATTTCCCTGAGTGACAGTGAGGAAGTTTCGCTGCCGCTGTACAAATCATTAATTGTTTTTTTGTCGTGCCTCGAGGACTTGGTGAGAACTCCTTCCATTGCACTCCGCTCCTAAGGAGAATTCGGAAGAGGCATTCCTGCTGCTTCAGGTGCTGCATTCTCAGTGAGTGTCTTTGGACTTGATTTCATCTAAGAAACATGTAGCCCTTTGTCCTTCACAACATGCATATGATGATGATACTACCGAAAAGCATTATGACATGCTAGAAATATTAACAGCCTTAGGATCTGCAGTGGATAAAGTTGTGAATGAAGGATTTCTATAACCCTAGGGGCATAAATGCATTAAAACATGGTCACTGCTGTAAAGATATTGAACGTTTCCTGTGCTGGAAAAAGTTATAAGCCTTTTATTCCCACTGGCAACGGTCAATTTATAGCTGCCTTATTTTTGCCTTAAGGCTTGTAGTTTCTGGAAAAAATCATTTTGAATTTTCAAAGTCTGAGAAAACATCAAAACAGTAAGAAAAGATGAGATGGAAAGATTAAATACTCATTATAAATGTCTCAATCTCTTAGGGCTTGTCTAAACAGGGAAGTTGTTTCAAAATAAGTGAGGGTGTGAGCTGAAGCACAACAGCTATTCTGTGCTACCTCCACCCCCAACAGGGAATTTCCTGTATTGTTCTGTTTCAGAAAGCCTGAATTTCTTGTAAGTACTGGAGTTCAATGAATCCCATTGGCAGTACAGCTGTATTTCTGTTTGTACTCAGTTTACTAGCCAGGCCCAACTATGTCTAATAACATTTATATCTGGTAATAAGGGACATGATTTAGTGGGGAAATATTGGTGGTGGGTGGATGGTTGGACTAGATGGTCTTGGAGGTCTTTTTCTGCTTCAATTATTCTACAATTCTATGAATGTCTGAGCTCAAATTTTATTCTGAACTCTCTAGCTTACTCCAAATACAGCCCATCCTGCAGTCAGTGTGGGTGACTGAACATCACGGCCTTCAGTGTGAGCTTCTGCCCACAACCTACTCATAGAACATCAAGAATCCAACAGATATTCAGTTTTTTCCTGGTTAATTAGGCAATATGTGTTATTCGTATCTGCTGTCAATACAGAGTTATTCACATTTTCCAGAAAGAGCAAAATTTATACAGGTAAGGTGTCTTTTGAGACAACTGATATCTCACATGTTAGTGAATTTTGGCAATGTTTAACAGAAGGGCAAAAATCATACATATTGTTATTCTTGCAAGTTTCATGGAAATACTGTGGTCTAGAAGACCAAGCTAGCCTGACAGAAGGAAACTCAGAGGTATTAGTACACACTGTATATAACGTCAGAGTACTCACTTGGGAAAGAATCTTTGTAAATATCCCTACACTGGCTAAAACATCTATCAGAAGCTGCTTTCTTTGTGACGCTGAAGTAATTCTGCTATGCAATGTAATTTGTATACATAAGGAAACCAGGTACTTGTAGAACCGCCTATTTTCCAGGTGCAAATGTTTTTAGATATGCGAGAAAATATTTACTATGATACAAAACTGCTTGACAAATAATAAAAATAATTTGGAGGGATTTGGTATTTGCACTTCTCTGAGGTGTTGCACTCTACCACCTCTTACATCCTGCAGTTCCCACTGCCTATAGGCAAAAGGGGATTCATGTCAGCGTGAAGGTGAAGAAATCAGTGACAAGCCAATCTGGGATGTCGGCTATCTTGAGATATACATCTACATTTTTGATGAAATGCAGAACTTTAGTAACAGGTGCATCTGGGTGAAATTCTATACCCTTTGAAACAGATAAGAATGAAGTCTCAGCCACCACCCCCTAGGGTGGAGTGACAAGGTGCATTCATCATCCTCAATTACAGACATATTTACAGAGGGCTGTGCCATGACACCATGAAAGATGCACAATTAGCTGCTTAAATCATTGAATAGAAATCTAATTGGGAGGTATGCAAATAAGGAGTGATGGAGGGGGACCATACCAACTTCTCCTCGGCTTGCCAGTGCTGAGAGCATCACCATTCCTGAGGAGACAGGAAAGTATGAATGATTTTAGAGCTGATGTTTCCCTCTCACCTCACCTACTGGCTCTGCAGTGTGTTTCTGCAGAAGCCATTCAGACTGGTCTGCTTATCACTGCACCTGTGCTTGTGGCAGGCTGCAACCAGGAGGACAACACACTTTACTTTACATGAAGTAGCTGGCAGCTCCTGAGTTTGCACCAAATCCATACTACTTTATAATGCTTCTTGCCTTTCTTACCTCAGTCTCATTAATGTAAAAGCTGTACATGATACAATTTTGCTTATGTTGTTTCATTAGCAAATGTTCTGTCCTAGACACTCTTCCTGTACCTGTGGACTTAGGTTCACATTTGTGAAGATTTAAAACTGGAACTACGACTATTTTCCATCTTAATTCATGAATTTTATGTCCTTTGTTTACTGCAAGGCGCACAAGGAGGGCTTCTGAAGAAAGGAGCCATGAAACATAGTCTGCATGTGGCAACAAATAAGCAGTTTTGGGGAGGTGGTGGTGTCAGAGAGATGGGATGTTTCTGGATGTTTGCCGTAACCATATGACATGGATTGTTCTCTGGTATAAAAAATATTTTCATAATGAGCAGTGAATATGCTTCAGTCTGGCTGCACCTACAGCCCCAAGAATAAGCAGTCTACAGGTAGGTTTGTCAATAAATACCATCTGCTTAGCAGCATGGAATCCAAACTATTGCAGAATCCACTTTAATGGTGGCTGCTGTTTCGCTAGATGTAGATGAGAGAAAAATGTCTACAAAATACTTTGTTGTAAATAGTGTGATTCTGATCTCAAAAAATATGACACTAAGTGTACTGGGAGTTGTTCAATCTCAATTTGAGTCTGAGAGAATCAAATGAACAGCTGCAGTTAGCTTCTTTCCTGAAGGACAGCAAAGCACCCCCACAGACACATAAGCTGTAAGTGGAGTTGCTTCTCACAGAGATTCGGACACTGATGTGTCTGAAATATGTCTTGCTTCCACTCCTGCCCACAAGGGAAGGAAATGCAGCTTTGCAAGCAGCAGAAGTAGCAGAGCCTGGTTTCCTCGCTACTGCCATGGAGGCTCCCAGATGGTTTCCTGCCTGAGCACGCTGACAGCCGATAAGGGGAGAATTCCTGCTGCAGCCGTTCTCTCTGCAGAGGAACTGGTAATCCTCGCTGCTTGGCTGCTTGTTTTCCAGTAATTTCATAAAAGCAGAGCATCTGTGGGATCATTACACCTCCAAGGTTCAGTTGAGATTGGCTGTTTGCTTCAGAGGTCTTTACGAGAGAAATGAGACATGAGCATCATCTAAAAAGCCTGAAACCAAAAAGAGAACTTCAGCCTGTTGGATGACTAATTCTTCCCTGAGCAAAGACATGAAAGAAAAAAATGTCGCACTGTCGTCCAACTTGGATTTATGGGTGTGATATTCTGCCGATCTTTTTTAAAAGTCTGTTTTGTAAAATATGGATAAGAGGTTCAGGTACATAAGTATGTATGGGATGGCTAAATTCTTCCAAATCTTACATAACTACAAAACATCAACAGATCACATCAAGTCATAGAAATTGCCTGGCTGGAATCTGGACTCATTTTTATGTCAGTTGTTTTTTGTAGTGAAGGACCAGGGAGGATTCCAGGGAAAGACAGACCTGAATAAGCAACTTTTTAAGACACAAATTTAATTAAAAAAAACCTGTAGTGTAAGAATAATGAAACAAGGAAGAGGATGAAGATGCGAAAAGATCAGTGCTGAGCAGTGCAATCCACAGCTCATTTTCTGTGTGGAAGGACAGAAGTGACGTACAAAGTGGAATCGTAAAAGGGGTGGGTGAAAGAGGAACGTTTACTGGGCAAGTAACCATAACAGGTCTTTCCAAATGGAGCATGCTTACTTTTATGTAAATCTGCAGCAGATCTACTTGCTTCTGAGTTTCACTGACAATTAAGTTTATGAGACATACAAAGTTGCAAACACATTTCGCCTGAAAACAGCAACAGAGAAATTGGTTGGGGTATATTTACTCCCAGAAAAAGTAGCATAGAGCTAAGAGTGCCGTAAGAAAAGTGTATTTCTTGAAAACACAAGGGAAAACAGTTTCAACACCTCATGTAAGT